GAAAGGACTTGTATCACTGAATTCCTTGGAAAGAATTTCTACCGGAAATTATCAAACAAGCAGATACATAACAGTATGTAGCAGATGGGGGGAGGGAAGTTCGAGCGAACCCACTATTTTTGTGATGTAAAAAAACTACGCTTATATAGTTTTGGCACAGCTACTTGTGCTATTTAACGTTTTGGATGTTTGTGGATTATATATGAACAGCCATGGAACTGTATAAGCTATATTTCATGCAAAAGTCTTCCAGATGCAATCTCATAGCACCTATTTTTTTACACTTTTTCTGGGGGGGCACGTCCCCAGACGCATGTAGTATTAGCATGCTGATTGTGCTTTGCACAATACGTGTTTACTTTTGATTTCACAATTTAACAATGTCATATAATATTTTGTTTAAAACGTAAAACAATGTGTGTTTAATGAAACAGTAAGGGTTAATGACTAAATGTGAGAAAATAAGGCAGCAGTGTGTTTTAGTTTTATAGTACATTATATTTTGTGGCAAATACTGAAGACTTAGTCATTACCCCTTTCACAAAGTGTTAATTTGCGTTATTTGATAGAACATTTAACAGTTAGTACTCGTATGCTTAGTAGTGGATATTTCTGAAAATGGTTAATTCATTTGCAATATACATTTTATTGACTGTTAAGCTGAATTTTTCAGTTTTAAACTACAACTACACAATATTCATGTATTGTTTGTGTGATTTATTTTGGTACATATACTTATTTTGGCTTTGTTTTCAGACTTTTATCAGATAACAGAGTGTGTGTGTTTTCTTATAGCAAAGCCACATCGTGCTATATGCTGTGTCTACGGAGTATGATAATATAGCATTGTTCTTATTAACGATCAAACAAAATTGGCACTGATTTTTTTAGCCGTTATGGTCTCATGAAATAACTAATTCTAATGATTCATATTCGTTAATCAGTACTTTGAATTAGAAGAACTCGGATTAGCTACACATAAAAACCCTTTGTTTTGTACATTTCTAATACACTTCATAAAGGTCCATCAGATCAAAGTATGTAAATGGGACTATGTAACCTGTCAGAGAATAGTTTTGAATAAGTGCAAAATTTGTCATTCATGTATTTAGTTAATTTGTGTTGTTTTCACCACCCAACTCGAGAGTGAACAGGTTTTGTCTGGAATAGTTTATAATAGAAAAAAAATTAGAAAAACTATTTTTGTTTATATATCCCAGTGGAAAATATAATGTGCCTAACAAGAATTCTATGCTTGAAATTAATGTATACACCTGGAAAAAAGTTAAGCACCCCCAAATATTTTTCAGGATTGCTTATTGAAAATAAGGTTTAATTTCCATGATGTTGAGCAATGTTCATAATTTCAAACATAATTAAAAGGAT